TCTGGCCCTTTGTATCCCGCCCAGCTCTAGAATTCGAGACCCCAAAGGAATCCTGGAGGTCACTCAGCCTAACCCTTTTGATCAACTGAGCTGCAGTGAACGACTGGTGTTTTTGGTTCCCACCTTACAAACGGACTTGTCTCAGAGAAACTTTTTAAAAAACATTTTTTTTTACTGCAATGAGTGTTGTAGAGGTCAATCGATCAAACAGTAAGCATTTATTAAGTGACTACTGTATGCCATGAAGTGAGCTGCCCAATGGGGATGCAGAGTTTAAAAATGAAATCCTCTTTACCTTAAAGAAGGGTACATTCCAAGAGGGGAGACATGTATTTAGATAAGTATATACAAAAGAAATGCCAGGTACTTGGAGGGGGAAGGCACTAGTAGCTTGGGGGCAATCAGAAAGGCTTCATGTTGGAGGTGACATTGGAAGTGAGTTTTGAAGGAAGCAAGGGATTCTATGAAACAGGTGTGGAACACTCACAACAGAGGCATGGGAAATGGCCACTGCGAGGGGATGGAGACAAGAAATGGGGAGCCATGTGTTAGAAGCAGCAAGAAGGTCGGTTATGCTGGACCACAGAGGACAGGAAAGATGCAAACAAGCATTTATTAAGCACCTACTATGTGCCCGGCACTGTGTGCTAAGCACTTTACAAATGTCTCGTTTGATCCTCACAACCACAACCCTGGGAAGTAAGTGCTGTTATCATCCTTGTTTTACGGTTGAGGAAATCGGGGCAGAGAGAGGTTATGACTTGCTCAGGGTCACAAAGCCAGTGTCTAAAGCAGGATTGGAACACAGGTCTTCCTAACTCTCGGCCCAGCACTCTACCCACTGGACCACCTATCTGCAGGAAGAGGAACAACAGATAACACAGTTGGAAAAGTAGGTTTGGGCTTTAAAAGCCAGAGGATTTCTATTTGATCCCAAAGGCAATAGAGAACTACTGAAGTTTTTTAGGTTGGAGAGTGACCCCATCTGATCTGTACTTAAGGAAAATCACTTGAGCCTGTCCAGTCCTCCAATGGATTAGAGAGAAGGTAAGACTTGAAACAGGGAAACCACCTAAGTAGCTACTGAAATAGCCCAGGTCAAAGGCAATGAGGCCGGGACTAAGGTGGTGGCTGTTGTGAGTGGGGAGAAGGGGAGAGATGTGAGAAATGTCGTGGAGGGAGAAACAAGGTTTTGTAACTGATTAGATACACGGGGCCAAAGGAGAGGGAAGAGTTGAGGATGATGGTGTGACCCTGGGTGACTGGAAGAATAACAGTCCCCTTGACAGAAATAGGGAGATTTGGAAGAGGGATGGGTGTTGAGGGAAAGAAGACTGAGTTCAGATTTGGATGTGCTGCATTTGAGATTCCTGCAGGGCACCCAGTTTGCAATGTCCAGTAGGCAGCTGGAGATGTGTGATTAGTGTTCAAGAAAGAGGTTAGGATGGATCTGTAGACCTGGGAAGTCACCTGTGGAAGATGACAATAAAATCTATGGCAGCTGATGAGAAGGACATAGAGAGAAAGAAGAGGGCCTAGGACAGAGCCTTGGGGTTCACCAATAATCAGTGGGTTTGACAAGGATGACCATCCAGCAAAGGGGATGCAAGAGTGGTTAGAGACATGTCGAAGAGCCAGAGGGCAGTGCCAGGAAAACCTAGAGAGAACACAGGAGAAGAGGGGCGGCAAGAGTAGCAAATGCTGTACAGATGGATGAAGGCTGAAAAAAAAAAGGCCATCAGATGTGGCAATTAGGAAATCATTGGCAATTTTGGACAGGGAAGTTTCAGTTGAGTGATAAGGTCAGAAGGCAGACTGCAAAAGGTTAGGAAGAGAGGAGGGGATAAGGAAGTAGAGGTAAAGCACACTGGACAATTTTTTCCTAGGAGTATGGCCACGAAAGGGAGAAGAAGTATAGGTCAACAGCCTTAAGCTATTAAGAATGGTAGAGTCTAGTGAGCTTTTTCAAGATGGGGGAGACCTGGGCATGTTTGAAGTCAGTAAATGGGGAAGATTAGAGAGGATGATTAGGGACAGCGGGTGCAATTTGCTGGAAAAGATTAGAGGGGATGAGACCACAAGGGTGCATGCAGAGGATCTGGCCTTGGCAAAGAGATCACTTCATCAAATACTGGAGTAATGGAGAAAATGGAGGATGCTGTATGTGAAGAAATGTTGAGGTATAGACAAGGGGAGAAGAGGGTGCCCATCGCCTCTATTTCCTCAGCAAAGCATGAAGTGTGGACTTAATTCAGACGGAGGGTATGGGGGGCTTGAAAAGAAAAGAGGTCTGGAGAGCACAACAGAGAAGGGAGGAGTGAAAGGACTGCCTTGCTGTCCTGAGAGCTCAATCAGGACTAAGTAGCCCAAATGTGCAGCCGGCTGCACCCAGCGTCCACACAACACCGGTCACAGGTCCTAGACAGCGCCCTCAACGCCAGCCAGTGCCGTCACAGTGGTAGGGTCTGCGTAATATATATACATATTAAAGGCTGGGTCCCTTTACTTGCTTCTGATGAGGCTTGCCAGCCTCTGGCTGCCCTCCAAATACAGGGAACTAGGTTTCTTCTTATTTCATAAGACTTTGATTAAGTAACGACGGTTGATTCTTATTGTTTTGACAACAATGATGGCATTCCCGGGCAACCGCTTTCACGGGTGGATTCCTTTCAAAAACAAACTTCTCTTGAAATACTCTGTACCATCAGAATCGCTGTGCGTCTCCATGCAGAGTGACCACTTTGGGTGGTGTGTCTCTTACTACAGGATTGATCGCTGCCCCAGGATACACAGTCCCTAAATGGCTATCTTTTGAAAAGAGCATGTGAATCACAGGAGTGACGCACATTTGTTGGTTATAGATTATGTAATCAATCATCATTTATTAAGCACCTACTGTGTGCCAGGCACTATACTAACAGAAACCTATTCAAGGTGCTAGTCTGCAAACATGCCACCTGTCTCCAAACCAATTCAGTGTCTTGGGGTATTAAGAAAGGCTTCCTCTAAGAGGTGGCATCTGGGGTAAGCCTCGAAGGAAGCTTAAGGAGTCTTTCTAAGAGGCAGAGATGAGGAAGGAGAGCGTTCCCACCAGGGAGGACAGCCCAGGAGTGGGGAACCTGTGACCCTCTGAATGAATCCAAACTTCACAGAACAAATCCCTTTAATAAAAGGAGGCCACACGTAGGTTCCCCACCCCTGCTAGACAAAGGCACGGGGCAAGAGACAGAATCAAGTTAACCTGGGATGTGGAGTTGGGGAAGGGAATTAACATGAAATAAGCCTAAGAAGGTGAGACTGAAGCCACATCGGGAAGAGCTTGAAATGCGAACAGAAGGAAACTGTATTTTATCCTAGAGGCAACAGGAGGCCACAGAAAGTGTTTGAGCAGGGGAATGGTCTGGTCAGACTGGTGCTGTGGGAAGATTATTGTGGCCACTTTATGGAAGATGGATTGGAAAGGGGAGAAAGCAGAAGCCAGGAATGCGGTTAGGAGGCCGTTGCAATCATAGCAGCATTCTGCCAATATCCGAGTACAGGGTTAGGTACAAGACAAAAATGTTGGCCTGAACAGAGAGCAGGGGCTCCTCTATCTGACCAAGGACAGATGTAAGTGAAATGAATCCATGTCACAACCCATTTTGTTGACAGGCAAGACACTGAAAGAATTCAGCCTTCATGAGAGGGTGATGTCCATATTTTTATTCCACAAAAGCAGTGTACAGCAGTAAGAAGTTTTGTACATTTGTGGGAAAGTGAGACTGCGTGTACCTGGATTAGCACCTAGAGAACGTGAGGAAATGAACACCCTAAAGGAAAAGAGGCCCCTTCCAAAGAGTCACCTGGGTCACAGATTAACTAAAAGCTACTCAGCCACTGAATTACCTGCTTCATCTACTGGAGCACTTATGGGGACCAGTCCTCGTTGGGACAATCTCTGCATCGGGGGGCAGCTTCTACAAGTAAATAAAGTGGCAGGGAGAACGGACACATCCCCACAGGGGCCTGAAGTCACTGCAGGGCACACCAAGTTGTGCTAGTTAGAGAGTCTGTGGGAGAATAAGGGAGCCTTTCCTAATGATAGTGTGACATGGCATCGCTCCAGAAGGCTGCCTTCAGAGAGCATGGTGGATGTTACAGGTACACAGAGGAGTCCTGCTGAGACTTACTCCGGAGAAGGATTGAGAAGACAAAACATCCCACTGGAGTACAGGCCTCCGTCCCATGGAGGCCTCACAGAGTTTCACAAAACAGCAAAACTGCCAGGCTGAGACACACAGTGCCTGGAATGTGCCATGCGGTGGTTCATGTAGTTGATGACACAGAGGGTGAGGTCTTTGCTTTGTCATTCACAGAACACGGAGTGCAGGTCAGCCGTCTTGGTCAGTCCACAATAACAACACCCAGGCCCAGATGACAAGTCTGGCTCAATAAGTGTGACAATGGAAGTGTTCTGTGCAGGCTGAGATCGTGACCATGTCTGCCCTGGGCCAGAGGCACCCTTAACATCTACCGATCCGCATTATTGTGCCCCCCTGCCATCCCCATCCCCACACCATTCACCATGGTAACCCAAGCCCGGGGCCTACTGCCTCCACTCCTCAGCTGCCCTGAGCAAAGGAGACTCACACAAAGAGGGGCTCGTCTAAAGGGCAGGGCAACAGCGTGGCTCAAGGTTTTTGATGGGCTACCTAACAAACAGTGCAATGATGTCAGGAGAAGACAATCCATGCCTTGATAAGGTCCTAGTCCTGGCTGACAGAATTACAAAGTCAGCGCATGCAGTGTGCTACTAAAACAAACCAATCCTGGACAGCTGAACGTCTCAACTCTGCCAGACTCACTGAAGGGGGCTCAACAAAAAGTGATCGGGGGGTGTTAAAGAGGCAGACAATCATACATCATTTTGCATGAAGAACAGAAACTCACACATTGCCATGCACAGCAGAAGTACCAATTTTCTTTACATATTTACAATTCTACATATTTACTCATCAATATATTTTCCATCTTTATAATTACAAAATAATCTCAAACATGGGGACACAGTAGTACCATTAGGTTCTCTCTTGAACATATGTGACCTTGCCCTAGTCCTCTTACATTTAAAGTAATGATTTAACCAAAACTAAATCATAGTGCATGCCTGGGAGGAAGCAGTAAGAAAAATCTGTTAACGATGCTAGTGTTTCTTAAAAATGACAATGGCTTTGTGTAGAAAAGGCAGGTTCAGTTAAAAAAATACACAAAAGCCTCATAAGAACCTACTTTAATAACTAAAATAAATAGTATTTATTACACATTAACCTGCCCCCCCAACTGTACCTTAAAAATGTACTTCCTTAACCCTAAGTATGTCCTTCTTCTCCGCTGCCCTCCAATCAGCAGGAAGTGAGTCGTACAGCCTAACTCGGGTCTAGGTCCTAGCCAACACTTCCTGGGTAAAGGGGCATCATCCTGCATAGACCTGTGGCTGCAGGGGCGGGGGCAGTTTGTCATTTTCGACATTCTCTGAGTCAATGGCTGCTAAAGGTTGGCTAGGGGGCTTGAGGTCCAGGGGATATTTCTCCACAATATCCTGAACCTCCTTGGCAATTCCATCAGTCCAGTCGATGAGGTCTTTTTCAAGCTTCTTGGCCTGGCTCATGAGCCTTTCTTGTCGCTCATTCAGCTGAGAGAGGAGATCTAAGTTCTTATACATCTGTTTCACCCCGAGGCAGGCATCGGGAGCCCAGGGCTCAGACTCCTGCTTCTTGGGAGAGGTCTGGCCCGACATGTAGCGGTCAAAGTCCTCCTGACTTAAATTCAAAGACTGAGCATCCAGTTTCTCAATGAAAGCCACCGCACAGCACTGTGAAAGGAGAGAGAGTGAGAGTGAGAGTGAGAGAGAGAGAGAGAGAGAGTGAGTGAGAGAGAGAGAGTGACCATGAGCCCAAGTGGCGAGTCAGAACCCCCTCTGATGTGGGGTCTGCTCTGTGACATGAGGGAGGGAGAAGGCTGCAGTGAGGGGGCTCCATGATGATAGGAAACGGAAGGGCTTATTCTCTGAAAAACCCCTGCCTGGACCCTTACCTGCCCGACAAGCAGCTCTTCAAGGCTTTGCACACGTGACAATACTTACCGCTAGTCTGCGATACAACGGGCTGAGGGGAGCCAGCGGAGGGGCTCAGACCAGTGAGGGCACCAGGGCTGCCCCCCCCACCCAGGTGCTTCACCAACTAAGGGCTCACCATCCCATCCCACTCCCATCTACATCCACAGAACTGCCTTCTCTTTCTTTTTTTAAAATTTTTATTTTTTGAGGCAAATAGAGTGAAGTGACTTGCCCACGGTCACACAACTAGTAAATGTCAAGTGCCTGAAGCCACATTTGAACTCGGGTCTTCCTGACTCCAAGCCCGGCGCTCTCCGCACTGTGGCGCCACCTAGCTGTCTTGCCTTCTCTTTCAGTTCATCTCGGGCTCTCTTGCTTGTCTCCAGGCACCCGACCACCATTCCTTTCACCTTTAGAATTTTCCTCTTCTACCCATCAAATACCAATTGCTTCGCATAATTATTTAATGACCCCATGGCCACAGATCTTCTCTTCATCTAAAATGTACAAGCTCTTCAAAGTCAGAGAAAGCAGCCTTTGTACCCCCACGGCCTGGAATAGGGCCCTTTAGAGGGGTCAATGCTGAGTAGATATCTGCAGTATCTAAGAAGTCCTGCTCAGCTCCTCCCTTCCTCAAGAATCTCGGTCCTCTGTTCCTAGGAGACTCCCAGCGCCAGCCTTAGCCTCCTAACCTCCAAGTCCTGCAGAATTCCCTGGTTTTCTCTTCCTCCCCCCAGACTCTAACCCTACCGGGTGAGGATCAGACCTCTGAACCACCACTGTCCACGCACAGATGAGAGCTGCCTATTGTCAGTGGAATGCAGTATACATTTTCATTCCCATTTTAAAGAAACCGGCGTAGGTGAAACTCAAGAGAAGACAGGGAATGATCAGATTCCATCCCAGCCCATTCTCCTTTTGCAGACTGCAGTCCCAAGAGCCAAAGGCTGAGAAGGAAACAGAACCACCTGCTTTGCCAAGGCCAGCTGAGCATGGGACCCCAAGACCGACATTTTGGTACGTGCCCTAAGGACGCGTGGCCCCCAGCCCTCCCTGCCGCAGCCCTTCCTGTTTTTTAATCACCTATATGTGCCAGTAGTGTATATATACACATGTATAAAATAAGATGACACAATGTATATTATAGATCAGCGCTTCTTAAGCTGTGGGTGGCGACCTCATGGGGAAGCACTGAACGGCAGGGAAGCAAGTGGAAAAAGTTTAAGAAGCCCTGGGGTAACTAAGTGGCGTAGTGGATAGACCACTGGCCCTGAAGTCAGGAGGACCTGAGTTCAAATCCGGCCTTAGACCAAACACTTGACACTTACTAGCTGTGTGACCCTGGGCAAGTCACTTAACCCCAACTGCCTAAAAAAAAAAAGTTTAAGAAGCCCTGTTATAGATAATATGATTTTTTATATATATATATATATATATATATACACACACACACACATATATATATACATATATATATGCATATATGTATATATACATATATATGCATATATGTATATATATATATATTATATATTATATATATATATATATATATATGTATATATATATATATATATAAAAAACAGAGATGGGAATCGTCCTTCTCAGAATCAGTAATAACCCAAACAATGAGGCTCTCAGTAGTGGAAAACAAGCTCACCTCTTCCTAATTCTCAATTGGGATATTATTTAGTTTTGTTCTTCAAGCAAAATCTCTGCTCAAATTGTCACCTTGAGGAAGAGCATAAAAAAATTAACCCCAATTTTCCCTAAACTGTGGTCCAAGATTTGCCCTACTGTTGTTGGAACATGGCCCCCTTAACTCAAGAAGCATGGCCTAATTTAATGGCTCCTATGAAATGCACCGAATGAGGTAGCAGTGAGTGAGGCTGGCCCTACTCTGCACCCTTGCCAAGCTATGGGGACTAAACATCACCAACCTCATGAGCTCTGGCTAAACAGTGGATGAGGAGGTGTCGATGGCGGCGGTGGAAATCTCTATCATCGAGTTTACGGTAAACTACTGGTCAAGAGAGGCCTGGGTTGTGACCTCCCCGTAAGAAGTGTGGAGGGTTTCCTCCCAGCTCAAGGGGGTCCTCTGGCGGACCTCTCAACCAGACTAAGGGCCCGACCCGGGCTATCACACTGAGAGAAACACGAGCCAGACACCTACCAAGTTGGTAAAGTAGTAGCCATCCTCCCCAGTCATCAATCGGCTGGGATTACAGAAACGAGTGATATACTGGATGTTGGACTGAAGGCGTGGCGGGTTGCCCTTCAGGACAATATAGATGAGGGTAGGTAGGAAGTCATCAGCGGATGCTGGCTCATTCTTGGTGATCTTAATAGCATTGAAGATGTGTTTGCTGCATTTGGTGATGCAGGCCAGCTTGTCTCGGGGGACACGCTTGGAATCCATCTCAATAATGTCTACAGAGTAGAAAAGAGGTTGCCTCCAATCAAGAGATTCCCATAGGATTTACATCTTGTCCCAAGCTCACCCCACTTTAAACAAAACCCAGTGAGTGAAAATCTAGAAAAGTCAGGAGATAATCCTTTGCTCTAAAAGAATTAATTGCCGGTGAAAGCTCCTCGTTGTTAAGGGGATTCCTTTACCTAAGGAGCCCTTCTAACACATCCGATGCTCAGAATCCAAAGCACACGCCCCCCTGACAAAGGGGAAATGACATCCTCTCCATAGATCAAAGTCTGAAAGCCAGCTGGGTTACACTCACATTGTATTGGATGACTATTCAATTTACATGTGCTCCCTCCCACACAGCTACTACATAAAGCAGAGTGGTCTGCATTTGAGAACAGAATCCAACCACAAAATAAAAATCCTTTTTCAGCAATCAAGCCATTCAGATCCAAACTGGCAAAGAGCCTGGTGGAGTAGGTATGTCACTGTGCTGTCTCTAAACACTTAAAATAGAACTTAAAGTGTTTTTTTCTTTCTTTCTACTATGAACTTAAATTCAACAAACATGAATAATTTATTTCAATATGTAACAAACAACAGAAAAAGAAGAGGCCTTGGTGACTTTTGGAAGGCTGGTCTGGATTGGTGAACTCGGTGGTGTGGAGCGTGGTACCAGCAGGGAAGCCAGGATCATGGGCTCAGTCCCTACGTGGTTTTGTTGGCTGCGCTTAGGGGGCAATTTCTGCTTTGCTGCCACAAAGGGCACCACCAAAAGGACTGAGAAAGACAGGGATGGCTTATCACAACCAGTAACTGCTACTGGAAAAAGGACGCCACACGCACATCCTCCTGACAAGAGCAAGGAGCAGCGTCTGCACTTGTGAAGACGACCTTGCTGCCGTGTGCGTGCTCCCTGGGAACACCAGCCCACATTAGGTGGGGCTGAGCAGCCTGAGTGCCCTGATCATGGCACCAAGTCTTGAGAACCCACATTTACCAGGTGTTAAGTTCAATGGACAAGAAAGAAGTAGGCACCTCAGGCACTGACGACTGGGACTCAGGGGCGTGCCTTCCAGTGGTCAGGGACCTCCAGCACATCAGCCTCACCACATTCCAGTCTCGGGCCTCACTCCCCATAAGGAAGAACGGGAATTACTCTAGCCCTACAACAAGAGCCTAAAAGAGGCCGTCCTTCCCCAACAAGCCAACCCTTAGATCTCGCACTGACCTGTAATGGCTTTTACTACCATATCAGAGACTTCTGGGATTTCTTCATTAACAGGGACACAAAGCATTTGTGGAGTAACCCAGTGCAAGGCTCTATAAAAAGAAAGAAATTAATGGGAATTTGCCATGCCAATCAAGAAATTTCTCAAGTATCTATGTGGGCAACTGAGCTTGCCAGTTGCTTCAGTTAAGGAAAAGTAAGGTGCTAACCTGTCTAATTAGGAAATCCAGGAACGAACCCAGAGTCTTGCACAGTGTATATGCTCAATAATTATTTGTTATCTGACCAACTGGTATTCCCACCAGGGTACTTAAAACACCAAGTCCACCAACAACAATAACAAATGTGAACAAGATGAAATGAAATTATCCCAGAGGAGGCTGACAGGTGTGCTAACACTGGGCTTATCACAGTTAACTGAAAGAACACAGGCCCAGCACGCAGAAAACATGGATTCTAAAGCCAGTCCTGCCTCCCCCCAGCAGCGTGCCAACATGAGGAACACTCTTGGGGCTTTGGGGGCCTGGATTCCTCCTCTATAAAATGATGAAGTCGGGCCAAACCAGAGGCGCTTCATCTCTTTGGAGCCACAGACTCCTTCAGCAATCAGTACAGTGAAGCCTGGGGACCTCTTCTCAGAATAGCGGTTTTAATGGGTAAAGTAAAATCCATGGGATTACTAAGAAAACTAGCTATGCTGGAATGCAATGATCACAGTGCTTCACAAACAAGTGCACGGATTGTGGACTTGATGGCCTCTCTCCATTCTAAGTTTTCAGGGGTGCAGTGGAGGCCTGACATTAGAGGGAGATTTCTGGGAGTTGGGGTTAAGACACTGGAAAGAAAGACCAAGACACCTTACTCCTAGGAGAGTGTCACGCCCCTGCCCCTACCTTTAGACTTCCATCACGGCTGTGATTTTACTTCAGAAGGCCTTCGATATGAAGCTACAAAAGTCTTCGCTTACAGTGAACCAGGGCAGGGGAAGCAGAGTCTGCTGCTTCGCACTTCCCCTCTTGACTCCAGGTCATTCTCAGAGGCTCAGTTCCCTCCCCCACCTCAGCTTTTTCCTCAGGCCAGAATAAGAAGACGCCCACCTGATCCGCTTCTGAACGGCCAGATCTTTCTTCTCGTCATCGGTGGTTTCTGGACAAAACACATACTTGTACAGGCGCGTCATGACGTACTTCTCGATCTGATCCATCACCTTCTCCATCTTCTCTGGGGGCACTGGGAAACACACATGTGCACATCTATTAGGAATCCCCGGGGCAAGCCGAGGCCTTTTTGTTAGCTTCCCTCAGTAGCTAAAAAACGCCACCTTATCACCAACCTGGTGTAACCGTAGAATAATATGAAAGATGAAGAAGTCTGGCAGTCATACACCTTGCAAGTAAAATGAAGTAAACATGTGCACACACACATGCCCACACACACATATGTGCGCTTTCCTTCTTGAAATGACATGAGCTCTTAATACTGATTTTTAGGGTGATTCTCTTCCTGGCTTGGCCTGTTTTGATTTGTGGGTTTAGAAAGAGGTGAACATAGGATACAGAGTCTGGTCTGAGGGTACACTCAAACCCCTATCAATAGCCCAGAATTCAATGTAGGGAGCTACGCCCCCTGCTTAAGAGAAACATCACAGCCGGCAAAAGAAATGCCTGCACTGAGCCTGGGCTCCTCCTCTCATCTCCCTGGGGCAAAGGTCCAGAATGTGTGCCTGCTTGAGAGACCAGCACGTGTTCTAAGTACACACTAACTCGACAGATGTCATAGCCATATGAATTGCTTTGTGATCAATTCATTTCCCTTCCACCTGTTTACTACGATCAGGTGATAAATGCGGCTGTCCTAGACAAAGTTCATGGGGTGATGCCCCAGGACCGACCCCAGGAGCGACAGCAGCTTCTGTGGGAGCGGGAAGAAGAGCTTTTGGCTGCCGCCATGGCACTCAGCAGATGCTGACCCCGCCGGTGCCAGCTAACGTGGGAGGACAGAGCCAGAAGTGGGTCTGTTACCTTTCCCCCGAGTCTGCAGTCTCTCGGCTACATTCTGGTAAAAATCCTGCACGCCTTCTGACTGCTCCTCGATACTCAGCTCCTACGAAAGAGTTCAGATGAGACACAATCAGACCAGGTCGGCCGCATGGCCTCCAATAACCACGACCTCTAGTCTGAGAAGGCAAAGAAGTCCCTGACAGCGGCAGAACCGACCTGAGCCGTCCTCTTGACGCCGTCTCCAGAAACAGATGTGGCCACGTGAGAGGAGAGCAGAGCTTGCTGGTCAGGGAGTCTGTGCATAGTGGCTTCCTGTGACAGCCACTGCCTCATGGCTTTGGACAGATGCCAAGGGGAACCACTGCCTTCAAAGCTAGGGCAGGAATACTCCAGAAAAGGCAGGCACACACCAAAGCATCCTCTGTAACTCACCTCCGGCCAGCACAAATGCCCAGATCCTCCTCCTGCCTACCCCCTCCCCCAACCAGTTTTCTCCCAGAGGCCCCTCCCCTAAACTCAATAACTACAAAGGAAGATGGAGGAAACGTCAGCCACAGTGGAGGCAGGCACCAGCTTGCTGATAGCCGGCTAACGGGAGGTAAACCGAGGCGGCGCCGTCTGATCAAACACAGCTCATGGAGCCAGATCACTGCCTGTTCACTGGGCAGAGAGAGATGCCAAGGGCCACGTGGAAAAACTGAACAGCTATTTGTTCAGTGCTTCCTGAGTGCCAGATACCTGCCAGGTGCAGGGAGGCAGACACTAAAGGGAGGGGACAACGCCACGTGTACAGATAAATACGGGCTCCGTGAACAATGAATACAGAGACAAAAGGGGGGGGGCATAGAAACTGGAGCAGCCTTCAGAGGGAAGGAGGCAGGGAGGCAGCCCTGGAGACGAGCCCCAAGGGCACAGCATTCCAGGCCTAGGCACCCTGGGCATCCCAAACTAGGCTGGGCAGCAGAGTGGCCACACGCGCACCTCCTTGCCCCACCCCTGGCACCCTGGGAGCTTGCTTGGGTTCAAGTCCCTTCTCTGGGCCTCAGCCACTTCTTCTTCTGGGCCGAATGAGCTCTCAAGGCCTTCGGAGATCTAGACCAAAGTGTGAGCCGCCTGTTCCGCCAGGGTTCCCAATCAGCACAATGCAAAGAAGTCTATAAAGGAAACATCACTTTTTTGCTCCTGGCCTGCCGACTAGGATCGTCACAGGCTCCGAGGACCTGATGGAAGGGCCATGGGAGCACAGACGACAAAGGTCTGTCTGGAACCTGCTGTGGACGCACCTCGGCCCAGTGACCGCACTGCTGGGTAACCCATGCTCACGTGGGACCCAGATGAACTCTAGACGCAGGCTGGGGAGGGTGTGAGAGAGAACAGCAGGGCCCCGGCTCTCTCTCTGCCTTGGGCACCTTCACCCGCCCAAGTTTCCTCCTCTGGAAGATGAGGTACCTTTCAGTTCCAACATTCAGCGTGCCCTATTGTGACTGCCGGCCACCTACCCTTTTGTGATGCATGACTTCCAAAAAGCTCTTGGTCTGCTTATAGATCTCCTGGCCTGTTCTGTGGAAGGTCTTGAGAAATTCTATGAACTCCGTGGACGCCCTGTCTGTCTCCAGGCTGGCCTGCCGGTTTATGGAAGGGCCTGCAGCTTTTGCCTCTGGAATCTCTGCAGGAAGAGCAAACATCGTCAGGCTCATCAAGTAAAACAACCCATGCGAGTCATGGTTTAAAGTCTGCAACTTAAGCCACTGGAGTTATTTATGACCCGGGTTAAAATGGAATTCAGCCTGCTTTACATCTACACATAAGACAGCTTGTCTAAACCAAGCTGAGCTGCCCCAAACAAGTAGCGACCACCTCTCTTTGTGAAAGCACACTGTGGAGTGTTCAGACCCAAGGACAAGGTTTGCGGCTCCAGCCCCACTCTGGGCGAACCACCCTTGTGCTGCTCGCTGCTGGGATCACTGGGATGCTCTGCCTGGTGCCTTCCATCACTCACACTGAAATGCCACCGAGGGTTCAAAAAACAGGAGCTCACAAAATAGTCAAGGGGCAAACTGATAGTGGGCACATGTGCACAAGGACTCGGCTGGGCCACCCTGGCCTCTCTCAATACCCACTACCCATCCCACCCCACCCCATTCCTGGCAGGAAGGAAGAAACTAGATTTGAACCAGGGAATTCTCAAATGAGCTCACCCACCTCTCAGTCTGCCTGTCAGCTCCATTCAATGACTGATGTACACAAACGTAATGGAGCATAAAGAGAGACTGAGGGGCTGGGAAGGATGGAAAACATTCTCCAATCAGCCCATTCCAAACATCAACCGCTTCCCTTTCCCACCCCACAAAACAAATCCACTTCCACATGCAGAAAAAGGACTGATTTTGTGGTGGCAGACATGGACAAAGGGAAAGTTAGAGCTCTTCCAAAGAAAAAGGACTCCCTCTTGCCCAAATCTCAGCTTGCCGGATCTTGCTGGGCCTTGCGAGCCTTCCCAATGGAATTCTGCAGCTTCCACCCCACTCCAAATGTAGAGGAACAATCATTCCTGGTAACTAGGGACACCCACCAGCAAGCTTAGGAGTCTCTCTTATCCAGGAAGAAAAATAATAAACTCATGAAGGAAACAGAAGAAACAAAATCAACTTACTCTATCTCAGTATTACCCAACTGTCTCAGTATTAACATCTTTTATGCATAAAACTCATATGACTAAACTCAATAAAGGTTTAAGATAATAAAACTCAATATCCCAATTAGAGTGATTAATTTATTCAATGAAGGAATCACGTGCCGGCTAGCTGGAGGAGGATACACTCTAATAAGTGGAGCTATCAAATTGAGAAATCTACCTCTCCCCTGATAGGGTATTAACTGGCAATTAAGATGATACCGCACTAGCTCATGTCATCTTTAATCTTTCTCATGTTAAAGCAACAGGGCTAGGTTTTCCCAGGTAGTAGAAAATACAGCAGAAAGAAAGCGTGTTTTTATGGCTATCTTTCAATTTGACTTAGAACAAAATTTCATGTGATTTTAAATCACAATTTGATAGTAAAAAGGTAAATGGCACATTCTCTTTTGAAAAGTGATTTTTCTGACCTCCCTGAAAAGCCTGAAAGAATCTTATGAGCTTAAGAATTTAAGTTTCCTTCCAACACAACACACCGCAGAAGTAATCTGAGAACCAAAGTCATAGCAGGAAGAGATCTTAAACATCAGGAAGCCCCACTCTCTCATTTTAGAGATGAAGAAACTGAGGCTCAGAGAATTCAAGTAACTTAGGAAGAGACAGAGGCAAGGAAAACCCAAACCTGAGACCCATCGGCCAAGTGATCTTGGCCAAGTCATTTCTTCTCGGGCTCCTCCACAGAATGGCGAGAATGAAATTTAAAGTACCCAGCTCCTAGGGCTTTTGTGAGGGCTCAAATGAGATGGCTACGCAGAACAAGTGGCAACTTTTCAGAAGTGAGATGTCAAGCTGCTGACCACTGTTCCTTCTGGGATCGCTGCATAAGGGGATGATGGCAGGCACCAGACGGCGAAAATATTCAAATTCAATACATATTCATTAAGCTGCCTACAAAGTCCAAGTCGTAGGGCTACAGGACCTCTATCTCCCCAAACGCTTCCCCAGTTTGAGGATATTTTGAATTAACACATTTTACTTTTTAAATGCAAATACCTCCTACGGTGGTTAGCCAGTCATTGGTACCTTAGTGTGAATTATTCTAAAATTGTTTAGTCAATTTTTTCCCTTCCAACTGAGGTCATCTTTCCCTAAAGGAATGAGAATTTTGATTGGAGGATGGGGAAGGGAAGTCATAGAACAAAATACGGAACAGAGGGAACTTGGGAGGGGGATGGCCCAGTTGTGGCCTTGTAGCAGAAAGGGAGAACGAGTCCATAAGAAGATGGGAGAGAAAAGAGACCAGAAACACTCATTCTGCAATTGTGCCTAGGGCTGTAGTGGAAACTACCTGCCAGTTGGCCACTGAAAAGAATCCTGTGGGCGCTAGGGGAGAGCAGCACCTACACTGCAGCAGCTCCTCTGAAGTTTTAAGTATCCCATTCCCAGGATTAGAAAATCCAATAGAAGAATCCTGCAGTCTTTTCAAATTCAAACCCCATCCACAAACACTGACTGGGCTGCTGGTGTGGACACAGCGCTATGCTATACATGGAAGCTCAAAGCAAGTCTGAGAGGGCCCCTCCAATAGGCCCATCCCACCCAAGGGCTGAGAAAGGCTAAGCTAGGGAGGAGCCAGGAGAAGGGGACAGGAGGAAAGGCCCCACGTGACGAGGACAAGCCAGGCCAGGGCTAGTCTAGTGCCCCGCCCCACTGCTACTCCTGATTTCCCAGCGAGACCTCTCTGTGCGAGAAGAGGATGTCAGAGCAAGGACAGAAGCTTTCGAGTTTGCAACTAGGGTTGTGCCACTGCAGGGATCCGGGTTCCAGGAGGCCTCAGCAGCCACAGCTGCACGCTGCCCACGTTCCTGATACCAACTAGGTACTTTCACCCAGGCGCTTGTGCACAAGTGTGCAAAGAGAGAGCTTTCAGGTTTTTCAATGGGACTTTTAGACCTCCCATCTCACTCACATTTAGACATTTTCCCCTTATGATTTTCCTGAGTTAACCCACACCCAAAGGCATAATTTGGTCATTTCTAACATGTGATATTGACATTCCCATGCATACATATTTCAGAGTTGTTTAGCCACAGAACAGAGAAAGCCCACATGCATATCTTCAAGCCATGCAGAATTCTTTAAAAAAAAAAAAAGATATGTGTGTGTGTGTGTCTGTGTAAAAACACAACCAGAAATGGAAGATTTCAGTCCTGAAGAAAAGGGCTTTGGAGCACTGTTTTTACATATCCAATAAGCTTATTAAATTATCAAATCACACTGGGCATATGTAAAGTTCTTTGTACTGACAGCTTTTGAGATCTAAAGCAACTGAGTTTAAAGAGACACCTAAAGAAAGTATTGAGGTGTGGTTTGGGAAATCCCCCCCCCACCAGTTGCAGGAGTCAGAGCTGGCACAACCTCAGTTTGCAGACTGCAGAGTCAACTAAGTGAGCTTACTCAATCTAAGCAGACAGCGCCAGGCGGTCCCGAGCAAGGTTACCTTCAGAAGGCGAGGCCAGCTCCCAGACGGGAGTGAAAATCTCCTTCAAGTTCCTGAGCAGGTTATCAGCGTTTCGCTCCCTGCCAAGCTGTCCTTGCTTAAGAGTTTTCTCTTGAGCCACTGAAATCAATGCAGGAGCAAGAAAAACACCAAAAGCGAGACAAGCAAGCGATGGGCGAATGAAAAGGAGGAAGCCAGGACATGTGCAAGGTGCCTGGGGCTGTGCCAGGCTCAGCGGCTCCAACAGCTCCCCAAGAGCCTGGCCAAGGCAGCCAGACCAGGTCAGGGTGCTGTGCTGTGCGTCAGAATTGGCAAGCATCCCAACTGATGCAGGCCCAAAGAAGCCCCTTTTTGTGTTGAAATACACACAAAAATCCTTTTGAAAAACATGATTTCTAAGATGTCTTCTCTCATTCCAGCTTTCTATAAAGACGCGGAAGTAGAAGACTCTCATTTATAAACAAAAAAGATATGTATTCCATGCAAAAGCTTCAAGATCAAAAGCACCAGGAGGAGTTTAATTTAAAAGAAAGAAAGAAAGAAAGCTAGCAAGCTCTGTGCTCTTTACATAACATACTTCACATGCTTCCTAAAAGTCCTTTACCATGCACTGTTTTTAAATCCCAGAGGACAGCCCAGACACATGGTCAGCAAAATAGCAGACTCCAAGCCTGGAGCTGCATGTGTGGATTTCTACATCAGACACACTCTAGTGGCAGTTTGGTGAGAGCATGTGGGCCCAAGAGCTCCGGGTTCAAATCCCAGCAGGTCCATTCCTAATGACCAACACATCGAGCTTCTCTGAGGCTCCATCTTCTGCTCTGTAAAATGGAGTTTCCCAGATGATCCCAAAGCCCT